AGATTTAGCTTTGAATTATTTTTTCGTTCTTTGTTGCACAAAGATATTTTGAATTTTCTACTCTTGGGTTGTTTCCCACCGAGTGTAAATGTTTTCTGTTGATAGGTTTTTCTTTTAGATTTGCATAGGACTTTCACAGATTTTTCGAGGTTTATTTTTACCATGTGTCTCTTGGTGTGGAATTCAATAGTATTGAGCATGGCCCGATTGTCCTGTGGCTCGCCCAGCAGTGCAATATTGTCTACACAGGTTGGAGATGCTATACATGTGGTATCTAGTGTTGCCCCCAAATGACTATCTAGTAATGCATTTGCTTATAATTATGGCGTTGTATCTTTTAAATTAAGAGGGTCGACAATATACAATTATGGCCCGCTGAAGAGTTGAATATCCAAAATTGTCAACCCGAGTAAGGGTTATGTTATATAGATACAATGGTTAAGCGTGGATTCTTGAAAAAGAAACCATGAGCCCGGAGGGAGAATGGTTTGTTTTTCATGAATCTACGCTTATCCATTGTATCTATAACTTAAACTATTGTGTTAATTTCTTTTCAAAATTAAAGCCTTTTCTTAATTAGAAGGTATTGTCAGTGAGTTTAAATAACCATGTTATCGTGTCCAACGATGCATTGATAAATCTCAGATCACAATTAATTGGTTAACAAAATACAAATATAACACTTCTACCTTTACAGATCTTTATATTACCAGGCATATGAATATTATCTGTTTATACAAAATAAGACATATTCTAAATTATTTCTAATAAAATTGAAAATGGAAATGGGGAACGTGTCAAAGAGACAACAACTCGACCAAAAAGCATATATAAAGTATATATAATAAGTGTGTTATCGAAATTTTTCTAGCACTCTAGGCACATCACGATTTTCTCGCATAGGAATTTGAGAACAAACCTTTGTAAAATTATGTAGTAAAACAGATGAAATCAAACTATATTTATAAAACAAAAATTGACAAATAGAATGTTATCATTATTGTTTCAAACATGTGAAATAGCCAATAATAATATAAAAAAAAAAGATAAAACTCGCTATAATTACAAAAATATCCACAATAACATGCAAATTTAGAAAAAAAACAGGATAACTTAAGAATTGGAACAACAGAGAGAATACAGGGATTCGAACCTAAACCGACAAATCCCTATCTTTAACTCATTGATTTTAACCATGCTAACCTCGCGGCTACCAACTCATACTATACGACTGCCTATTTTGTCTATATAAAGGTACAAGCCCTGTGTTTCCGATGAACCGATGTATATCAGATGTTCATTTAAATATATAAAATAGACATCTATAGTGTAACCCATTGGTAGCCGAGAGGTTTCGTCGATGTGTTGATGTCAGTCACACATAACAGATTTCAAGGAAGGGTTCGATTCCCAGTGAAGGCATATAAAAATTAAAGGTAAGTTTTTAAATTAATTGCATTAGTGAACAGAAATCAGTAAATTAGCCAATTCAAACTTAATGAAATTAGGTACACAAAGGAAACAATTGAATATAATTTGGTGAGTCAATTTCAGCGGCAGATTTAGGAAGCGTTGATTCTAGAAAAAGAATTTACGGTAAATAAATAGGCTGACGTCACCACAATGGTTTAATCCACAATGTACGACAAGGGTTATTCACCGGGGAATAATAGGGTTGTTCGATGGAGACTTCAATTTGTCGGGGTTATTCACCGGGGAATAATAGGTTTGTTCGATGGAGGCTTCAATTTGTCGGGGTTATTCACCGGGGAATAAAAGGGTTGTTCGATGGAGGCTTCAATTTGTTGGGGTTATAAAACGCTCCTGTCAATTTCTGGAAAAACATCGAAATTAAACTATGACACGTGATTCCGTATTAGCCAATCAAATAATTACTATATAATGTAAGGTATAATAATGTTCCTTGTCAGATTCCTTGTTGTACATTAACACGTGTTATTTAGTTAGTGTCATATTAGTATCGACATGTTTCAATAGTGTTCAGATATATTACCTCTAATATCGTCATAGAATAATTTGTTTATCATTATTTCGTGCCTTAAATTGTCGGAAGCTTTTTTTCTTCATCTATTGCTACTAGCTCTTAAATGATTTTCATGTATATACCGATATAGCACAGTACTTTAAGAGCCTATGAAGGTTGTAAAAAGAACTGCATTACATCCGTAGTTTTCTGATATTGTTTTATAGTTTTTCGTCTTCAGAGAAGGCGTCAAATTCCATTTTTGTAAACTCTATGGTACATTTAGTTCTTTAAAAAAAAAGCTTTTTAATAGAAAAACAAAGGATATGCATCCATCACATAAAATAAGTACATGCACAGCAAAAACACACACCAAGCAAAGGAACAGCGCTTTTATTGCTGTTCTTTATCTCAAAGTCGCAGTGAGGCCTTCAACACGGAGCGTCATATAGTCTTTGTGAATGCTTTTGATAATAGCCATTTCTAGAGATAGAATCCAATGTTTTTGAATGCAAACTGATATCTAATGATTTCAAAACTGTTTCTAAAAAGATAGTGTTTCCTTTTATATTCTGTATGCTTAAATTTCCTATAGTGATTTTGTTCGTTTTTGCTTATCCAGTACACAGTTGAGGCTCTGTGTACTCCTAAAAATGCTGCTCAGTAGCATGTGTGTGTATATCTCGCAATTCTGTTTGGTTTATACGTTATTCTTCCATATTGATGGCTTTTGCAGGTTGCTAATTTTAAACACTATACGTCATAGAGGGTGTCAATATTTTTATGAGTATTTTGGTTGAGATGGTATGAGGTCAGTTTTTCTTGTTGTATGATCATTTTTGATCACTGCAGAGTTATCTCTTTCATGCTGCTAAGGTGTTGGTTCGTCCTTTTGTTGTTGTTGTTTTATGTTGGTATTTTTTCTTGCATTGTGTTGTTAAGCCTTTTATTCAAGTGCATACTATTTTTACTGCATGATGCGAACATGGCGAACGATATACTCCATATAAAAATAAGGAGGTGTGGTATGATTGCCAATGAGACAACTACCAACCAGAGACCAAATGACGTTGATGTAAGCTATATTTCACTTTTCGGCATTCAACAATGAGTAAAGCCTATATCGTATAGTCGGTTATATAACTTGAACGGCTCGACATGCCAAAATGTGAAACAATTTAAACGAGAAAACATACGTCCCAGTTTGGTTGTATGCTGGGATCGGTAGACGCTGGAGATGTTTTACTTGATAAGGCGTCCTAATGAATGGATTGATGAAGACCTATGGTTTCAAATTTGGATATATTTGAGTTGAAATTGGCTGATTAGTGTTACATGTTGAAGTTACATAACAACTGTTATTTGCCCCCTCGCCTGAATGTTGTTTACTTTGTTTAGTTGATCATCTGTCTTCATTAGACGAAGCTTACATTTCAAATTATTAATCTCAGAGCTATGTGCTTAACTATGCAGACTCGTGATGTACAACAAAATTTTACGGATTATAATCTAATTTCAAGAAATTTCATGTCAATGAGCATATAGTGGACTATAGAAGTGAGGGATTGGCTATAATGAATGTTTTTAAATTCAGTGAAGACGGATTGCAATATAATAGTTTTTGTATGGTACCATACCTTTTCGAAGGACATTACTTGACTAACAAGGAAAATAGCCTCATATTAGATAACTCAATCGTCCCACAGTTGCGCTTGAGTAAAAGATGAATGTTCGGTGTCTTAAAAAATATAACCCATTCTTTTAGAGGGTGGATCCAATTTCCAATTTGCCGAACCTCCTATAAGCCGAATTTTTATCGTCTATGTTTTTTTTATCACTGACGATAGCGTCTAGAAATCCAAAAATGGAAAATTTTATGAGTTTACCGACTAATGTCCATTCTAATGTCATGACCGATAGAAAAAAATGCTAAATACATTTTCTTTTATTAATTAATGGAAGGATTGACTTCAAATTTGAAATATAGCAAGAATTCAACATTTATTTCGTGGATATAACAACAAAAAGAGAAAATAATTGATTTTTAAAGATTTGAAAACTTTACCGGACCAACGTCGACTTTGCCCGATGAAATAAGGCAATTATCGTTACTATTTCTTGAATAATTGACTTCAAATTGAAGACGTTTTTAAAAAGAATACAATATCTTTATAATCGTATGTTAAAATGTAAAATTTACTGTAGTCGGGCGTTAATTTTTACTTACGATATTTTCAAATTTTTCTCTATTGTTTACGAAATAAAATATGTTTTCGTAAAAATTTTAATGCACTTTTTTCGATAATTAAGAAAGTTTTTTGCCTTTCTTGTCAGTCAAGACATTGATCAACACAATGTCGACATTGGTCGAAGCAAGTATTTTTACCTTTAAAACATTTTTATCTCATCGGATATTCATTTAAAAAATATCAAATATTGATACGTTTCAGTCTAATTTAAAATATAATTTTCAAGAAATAGATAAATTATTTCCATTTTTCCATCTATCAGGACATTGGCCAGGGCTGTGTCGGCCAGGACAAGGGCGGTGTCGGTCAGGTCAAGTTTTTATACTCTTTAAACATATTTATTTCATTTTTCTATATCATATCTACTTAATAAATGATTGATCATTGATATATTATCATACTTGAGTGATGGGTCAAAGTACCCTTTTCGAGTGACGACATAGCGAAGTAGCGAAGTAGCTTCGCTATGTCGTAGATGTAGATGTACCATTCAGGGCAAATTCGACGTTGGTCAGGTAAAGTTTTCTGATCCTCAATTTTTTTTCTTATATTCATTTAATAAATGTTAAAATTTTGCTTTTGTCATAATTTGAAGTCAATTTATCAAGATATATTATTTATAATTTTCTATTTGCCAGGACATTCATCAAGACATAAGTGATCATTATTGTAACCCAAAATTAGGTACATTATTGTTTGTTTTTATCTTGTTGGTCCTTTTTACTTTCTGTTTCTCATCGACCAATCAAATTAACCGGACACGAAAAATGGCGCATTTCTAAAAAGTCTGCGAAATGAGAAGTTCCCTACTTACAACTTCCAGTTTAAGTTATACTACGCCTTTGTAGCATAATCTGTTAATCATTAACATTGTAAGAAGTGATGTAAAATTCTTTACTAGATCAAAAATATTTGAAGTTTGTACCAATCTTATTCTTAAAATTGCATCGTACTAATCAGATAAATTTTTATAAACATAATTGATCATAATTTACTCGAGTTCGATAAAATTTTGCAAAAGTCCAATCAGATATATTTATGGTCCAATTATCTTATGATATTAGATAGTCCAATTGTAATTATGTTGTCTAAAGAGGTTTTGAGGTCTAAGCAAAACAATAATTTTCCAAGACCTCAAACTTTACAATTTTGAGGCAAAACAAAATATTAGTGTGTCGGGTTGATTGACCCTAATTCTGAAGCCCTAAATAAGGATTTCTTTAACATATGAATTGCATCCATTAACTTATATCATCAGAATACTAGACACAACTGATCAAAATCATATTTTGCATGCACACAGTCACAGACTTGAAAACTTTTATTCGCTGCATTTTTGAGTAAGACCAAAGCGTGGTCGAGTGTTACGATACATCCTTGGCAGATTAAGCTAACATTTGTGATAACAATGCTGTGCCATCAACAGGTAGATAAAAGTCGCACCCATTCCGACTAAATCATTCTTGACACATGGCAGCTCTTGAACTGTCTCAGTCTCTTCAGTGAGGATTAGTGTTTAAATGGTTGTGTCTGGTACATTTTGTATTTATAAATTTCATGAAGCAGGAACCGAAATTATACGTTGAATTCCAACATTTGCATGAGAAAATAACCCAGGAACTTTCAACTAGTTTATTAAAACTTTAAAATGTCACTATTATATCGTCCTATGTTTTGGGGGTAAAGCCTTGTTGCACAATCAGCACGTGATAATTGTTTATTTACATTTTATACATTTACACATGATCATCGTAAAGGTGTTTTATGATTGGATGCAGCCAATTACAACTGAGACTAATGAAAATCATTACCTCCTGGATCCAAAATTCTATCTTAATCTGTCATGGGTGGAGAAGAGGAGACTGGATTGTAACCCTTGGCTAGCTTGGAGTAAAAATTTTGTGTTAGCGGAGGGTGATGTGGACTGTTGTCTTGTGACTGACTTGTGAACTAGCATATTATAAATCTGATTCAGCATGTATGTCTAGCTCAAAGCAGGGTTCATATTCATATTATTGTCCTGAAGTGATATGTATGGGGTTATCATACATGCATGGTCATAGAAGTGCGACCATACATGCATGATCAAGGTGGTGTAACAAAGCATGTGTGGTTTGACAATGTATTTGAATACAGTGGTTTGAGAATGAGAATGCAGCTGGCATTGTTATGACAAAAGTAAACCTTATTCCAAACGAAACTTATGACAACACTGGAGTATATGGTGTGTCTGAACTATTTTTTCTTATTTATAATATTTAATAAATTCCAAATTAAAGTAATTCTTTGTAATGATGTGTGTCACTGGATGTTAAACATTAATCAATCCACCCATCAAAATTGTTTAGCAATCTAAATTTAAATACTTCTTTTATGCAATGAAGTTACTATAGATGTCATGTAGCTGACCACAGTATTTGAATTTTATTATATTTTTTTTTAAATATTCCCTGTTTTTAAAGAAGATACTGCAAGTTAGATTATTTTGCTATTTGTGAGAATTTTTATTGGCTTCTTCTGGAAGAAGGATTCAGAATTGTCTAAATTACAATGTAGTTAACATCTGAGACAATCCTGTTCAAATCTTACAAATCTTCCTGTTTAATGGTTCACCAGCCTATAGGCCAAGGGATTATATTTTTTTGTGAAGTGTCTTTAAAATTAGTTAAAATTTTAATAAAATATGCCCTGAATTATTTCAGAAAAGGCTCAGATTTATGGCAGATAATTTTTTATGCCTATGTTATTTTTTTTGTTTGGGGAAAAATTCTGGGACATTGAATAATATGTGTAATTTTCTTATTTTTGTAGCTATTCTAAATTTAGGATATGAGTAGGTAAAATTTGTACAATATGGCAGAAGAAAGGCGTACCATAAGAGGGGTGGAAGTGATTTTTCCATGTAAACCATATCCTTCCCAGTTTAGTTTTATGGACAAGGTAAGTTTCATGATATAATTTTATTTTATTTATCTATAAATGATAGACGTGAGATAAACATCAATGAGACAGCAACAAAACACATTAAACACAAAAAAGGCCATACTAGTATTAACAACGTAAATGTAGCAGAGTAGTTCTAACTTGCTAGAAATTATCAGTCTTCACGCTCAACAACAGGCCCACAAGCCCAGGCTTGTAAAAATCATCTCTACAAGCCAATAGAATCTAACTTAAATTTTCGTAAAATTCAGCTTCGGGCCTGTAGATTTAAAAGTTTATCGTGAAGACTGAATTATTTTGCACTTTTCTAGGATAAACATGATAAAAATACACAATGTTTGACAGTGAAAGTAACTATTTGATGAGATACATTTTAACCACCAAAGGTAGATAGATACACATGTACAATCTTCAAGCATCTGCACTATATGTAAATCTCTTGAGTCTAGACAGAATCACCATTGTGAATAAATGGACAGAGTATTACAATCTTCAGGAGTCTAACATTTTGACTTCCAAGCCTGAGAATCCGTCCATTATTCATTGAATTTACATACATTTTAGTTTGTAGTTAATCGTGAAGACTGGTATCATGGGTATTAATGGTCTTCCATCAACATCAAAATCCTTAATTGAGCAAAAAACACTTAACACAACTAACACATAACTTCTGACAAGGCTCTTTACTTATTTTTAAATTATTTCAAAAAGTCTCCTGATTTTTTGCACATGTATTGATGAGAGAAGTTTTCTTTATCATACATGATGACATTGTGTCTTTAGAGGAAGTTTATGTGATTAAATTAAAATATTTGAGTGGAAAATTATTTATTTGATGTTTACAGTTCATCGAAAAGAATTATTACTGAACTGATTTAAATGAACAAAATTATTTCTTTGATAAATGTATTCAGTGAAGTTTTAAGATTGATTTAACATATAAAAATAAGAAAATGTGGTATAATTGCCAATGAGACAACTCTCCACCAGAGACCAAATGACATAAAAGTTAACAGCTATAGGTCACCGTATGTACATTGTGAATACTGTGGATTCATTATTATTCGTTGGATACCAATTTTCGTGGTTTTCATGGGTACAGGTGAACCACGAATTTAAATGTTCAACGAATGACAAATTTTGAATCAAATTGTATGCAGACTTTGGCAAAACCACGAAATCAAATATCCATGAAAAGACGAAGTATTCGGAAATGCATGAAAATTGGTACCCACGAAAATAAATGAGTCCACAGTAATTGTTTATAGTTAAGTTATGTTTTTTACCAGCAAGTTGCATTGGAATGAATATACAGTTAAAATTATCTCAACACCATAGATGGTAAACATGTAGTACAGTCGACTCCACTTAATTGCATACCGCTTAATAGCATAATTCGGTTAATTGCATAGTTTTCTCCTGCACAAAACCATTTCCCATTCATCTAATGTTAAATTGTCCGGTTATATGCATAGCTCTACAAGTGGCCTTTCGGTTTATTGCATAGAAAATTATCGCCATCTAGATATGCTTAGTTAAATCTGTCGAAATTTTTGACCGGAAACGGCAAGTTAGTGAGTATATTATTCTTGAATGCATCATTATTTTCATTATTATTTCATATTTACTTTTGTGTTATTCAAATAAAGTTTTAAAACAGTTTCTTTCGTGTTTATATGATTGAATTTGATTTAAAAATAAACCTCGATATCTACACAGGTAAAGTTTCCCATGTTCTATTTTAAGCCTCGAGGTCATAAAAATGTCAAACAGGTAATTGTTGTAAAAACACTGACCATTCTATCTAAAAAGGTGTAAATAATTGATTGGATTTCAAACATTGTCCATAGATTACATTTGGGGTGAAATTCAAAAACAACGCCTGCTAATTATCGATCATTATCCAATGTGAACTCTCGTAATTGGGCTTGGGGTGATCTGCATTTATGTTAAATATTACAGGGCATTTATATATGGTTAAAGAATTTTATACATCAATCATTTAATTTTAATATATTTTGAGAAGAGCATTTACTTCTAATTATTATATTTTCTCACTTTCAATACTCGTGTCCAGCAAATAACCCGTACAGGGCCCCATTACTGCTTTGCATATACGAAACTAACGAAGTTAAATAAACAGTGTTACTTCACTCTGCAAGCTGTAAATATTGTATATCAAAGGCAGTTTAGTACACATCTATTGTTAAAATGATTATAGACTCTGTAATTTTGTTAAACAGTTTATTTTAATCAAAGTGTAACAATGTACATTGTACATACGGGTCATAGAAACAAATCTATTTTTAGAACAAATTTATTTTGTATCCCAGGTAAACTGGTAAACTTCTACTTCTACCAATACGCGGCCACCATCAATAAGTTGATTATTTTGCCACTTTAAAGGAAACGTCGGTACGCAAATAAACTAAAACAAAATGTGTTTATAATCTTTATTGAAATAATATAAAATAAAATAACATGTATGACACTAGACATATAACTTTTATTAGAATAAATCAACATTCAATATGTTGTAATATTGGATTATAGACGTTCATCTTTCTTCAGGGATTTCCTTTACTGATCTGTTCTATCGATGTTATTTGACTCCGTAATTTGGCATTTCGGATATAAGCATACTCCGCTTTATTGCATAATTTTGTCTGACAAATAGGCTATGCAAATAACCGGAATGTACTGTACCAATTTATATGTAATTTTGAATGAAATGTTTACTCATTATAATCAAGTGTGTTTTTGTACTTATTATAGGTCATTCAAGGTTGTGAGAAAAGACAAAACTGTTTACTGGAGAGTCCTACAGGCAGTGGTAAAAGTCTGGCATTGTTGTGTTCTGCTTTAGCTTGGCAGACAGCTGAATATGGTAAGTGGAACTTGCACAGAGTTAAAAAAAACACATTTAAATAAAACACAGACTTAAAATATTAAGTGTAGATTATGAATATTTTTTAAAGTCTTATATTAACTAAAATTTAGAAATAAAAGAACTGAAATGATTGAAAAAAATTAATTTGACACATTTGTCGTTGAAAAGCATCATGAGGTTTCAGGAAATTGTGAATTATGTCATTCGATTGCTGTCTCATTGATATATACCCCACATCTCCCTTTATTCTTAGAAAGCAATTTATTGAACGAGATTGCTCATTATCTTGATGCTCTTTAGAATAGAACTTTACAGCAAATAAATCCATACTCTTTAATATCTGATGCATAGTAAAGGTTAATCAACAAGTTTCTACTGGAATAACTTTTTGAATTGTTATCTGACTTTAGATTATAGTTCTAGATGTTTCATTTAAAGTTTTAAAGATCTGTAAGTACCTACCTAGGGTTTTTGTCTCGCCTTGACAGAGTCAAAAAGCTAGACATAGGTATGCTGTTTCGGGCTTCGGTGGTGTCAACAATGTAATTATGTATTAGTTTTGATAAGGTCAGTTTAAGGGAACTACTAGTTGTAGGTTAATCATATTTGGTATGCAGTTGTATTAGCATTGACATTTCTCATTCCATGGAGATTATTTGGTCCCTCCCCCTCAATCATGATGTATTGAATTTGAAACTTTTGCTTAGTTTGCATGTATAAGTTTGTGATTAGGTCAGTTTATGGTGAACCATTAGTGGTAGGTCAATGATATTTGGTATGCAGTTGTATTAGCATTGGCTCATCTCATTTCCATGGAGATTGTTTGGCCCTGTACCTTCAGTCATGGTTCTTTGACTAAATATTTTGCATTACTTACATGTTAAAGTGCTGCTATTTTGATATCAACATTTGCATTTCACTATCAAAATAACAAAAAGGTGAGACATATCTCTGTGTTAACAATTTATTGTTTTATTTTTCAGCTAAGAAAAGACAAGAAGAATCTGAATCAGAACATTCAAGTAAGATATAAGTAAATAATGTACTCTTAACCTTGAAGATTATTTGACATTTATTTTCATAATACAAATATAATTACCTTGTCAGATTGCATGTTACAGCTGTAACCTTTTGAATGTGTTAAAGAATATAAAAAAAATGATTTAATTGATCTTAAAGACCTGAAATTGTAATGATTTTATGAATCAATATATACATCTGGTGTAAATTTTTTACCAAGAATAAAGTTATTTACTAAGCATGCTTTGAGAAAACTTAGAATCGTCTTGCAAATTTTTTGCTGAAAAATTTTGTTTTGCATCTTTTTGTAAAAGGAAATGTTCATGTTCAAATCTTTGAAACCTGTGTATTTTTGGTATAAGATAAAGTGCACAATCCAAAATATTGACAAGATCTATGTCAGAGGTAGTAAAATTAGGTTTATACAAAACAACTGTGCTGACTTTAACATGCTTTTTCAAAACAGATTTCTCCTATGAATTATATGTGTACGATTTTTCTTTGTTGTTTAGAGTCAAAGGAGTGCTGCTGTAAACAGAAAGAGTCAACTAAAGAAGTCTTAGATACTACAGAAGATGATAATGGTATGATACTGCAAGAGTTCTAATGAACACGATGTACATGTACTACTGATAATTAAGAAATTACTGTACTGGAAGCCATTGACTCAATTGTCAAATTGGTGGCATAAATTATCCAATCAAAACTCATGTTTACAGTTAGTGGAAATCTGTTTCTTCCTCTTGTATGTCTAGAAAAAGTATGAGTAAATAAACAAAGTTAAGATATGATCCTATAAAGCATTGCATTAAGCATTATGAAAGTCACCATCGATTACTGTAAAAGAGGTTATTTTTTGTGGCTGTCTCAAATCGGGAACCTCTGGCCTTTGTTAGTCTTGAATGTTTTTTTGATTTTGGTTCATTTATATATTTCAGAGTTTAGTATGACGTCTATTTTTTACTGAACCAGTATACATTATTGTTTAGGGGCCAGCTGAAGCCCACCTCCTGTTGCATGATTTTCTTGCTGTGTTGAAGACCCATTGATGGCCTCGGGCTGTTTTCTGCTCTTTGGTCAGGTTGTTGTCTCTTTGACGCATTCCCCATTTCCATTCTCAATTTTATATTCATGATGTGCTATTCAATGTGACATCATGAAGGCAAAACATAGCAATTCTACATGTATAGTCTGTTGTCAGTGTCGTCAACATTTAGGTTCTGTCTGGTTAAACATATTTCTAGACATAACGCCACGCCAAATTAATCCCTCGTTCGTCGGATCCCCCGCATGTTGTAAAAGGTCGACAAGAAAAAATAACTTTTTAAAAAACCCACATCTAGTACGGAGCCGCGTGTGTCTGTCTCTAAATTTATGTAACGAAAATTTTAATCAGTTGTGCATTTGAAAGTAACGCCATACAGACACGGAAATTGACATAAAAAACAATCTAGATCTAACATTCACAATGTTTTTTATTACAAATATTATATGATATATATTCTAAACGTAAGACATGAGTGGAATATTAATAGTTACAGTGGTAACGCAGGCAACAACCTTACTACCAAAGACAGCAGTGGAATGTGATTTGGACAATTCTTTTACCATATGTTTGAGGTGCTCCGTGCAGGACCACAATGAAACGTGCACAAAGCACCAACACCTCCGAATAATTTGAAAGATTTAAATGATGACAATATAACATGCATGAAAATAAAAGATAATCCCGAAGATGACGGTACATGCATTGAAATGGCACCGCAAAGATACAATTATATTTTTTTTTATCTTTTAGAATAAAAGTTTTTTCCCTTGAAACTTTTATTTGTATTTGCTAGTATCATTACAAAGTTATAAAGCATGGAATTTGACAAGAAAGTGTTTGTGGTAATTGAATATAACACATCAATCCATATTTACAATTTACAAAATCTTCTAAAATAAGAATTTGTATGATTGTCAATGAGACAAACTTTCACCAGAGACCAAATTTGTTGATGTTTGCAATGGTATGGCCTTCAACACAGAGCAATATCCCCATTTACATAAAGATTTGATTGCTATTAAATTCTTCTTCCCCCTAAGGGTGAATGGGGAATAGAAATATGGTCACCATAGGTCTTCCTCTGACCGGCAGTAAAACCCTCTCCAGATTGGGGTGTTCGTTTGGCTGTGCAGTATGTATAAGTACGCAGCCACGTCTGGTCAGAATGGGGATGTTAAATCTGATGCTTCGTGTAGGGAGAGGTCCACGCTCTTTTCACGTTAAGAACCCTTGTAACAACTCTTTGAGGGGTCCATAGGTGGCCTGTTGCAAGGCTGAATTTCTGTCCCTGTCCAAAGTACCCTCATTTTCACGTGGCGGTCCAAATTTCACCGACCTTTGTCCTGGATGGCCTCTGTTACAGGACCTTCCCATTGTATTTATTGTTAATTTGTTCGCCTCCTGAACATGCATGAAATATTTGCCACTGGATGTTAAGCAACCAACAATCAATCAATCATATTAGATTCTTCAGCAAAGCAATGACTAAGTGGAATGTATTGAAATTTTCCTTTTGTTTAATTAGTATATAGCATCTGGTGTGATGCATTTGAAAATGTAGAAGTATAAATTGGTGTGATTTTTGAAGGACAGTCCTTTATAAATTTTCATCTTGTTGTATACACAAATATGTATAGTTGTATATGAAAGCTGTATACATGCATATATGCTTTGCATAGGTTTATTTGAAACAACATAGCATTCTATATGTGCCTGTCCCAAGACAGGAGCCTGTAGTTCACTAGTGGTAGGCCACTGATATTTGGTATGCAGTTGTATTAGCATTGGAGATTATTTGGCCCTGCCACCTCAGTCATGGTCTATTGACTTTGAAGCTTTTGCTTAGTTTACATGTATAAGTTTGTGATTAGGTCAGTTTATGGGAAACCACTAGTGGTAGTTCAATGATATTTGGTATGCAGTTGTACAAGCATTGGCATATCTCATCCCCACCCCCTCAGTCATGGTCTATTGACTTTGAAACTTTTGCTTAGTTTACATGTATTAGTTTGTGATTAGATCAGTTTAGGTTGAACCACTAATGTTAAGTCAATGATATTTGGTATGCAATTGTATTGGCATTTGCAAGTCTCGTTTCCATGGAGATTATATAACCCCACCCCCTCAGCATGGTTCATTGACTTTGAAACTTTTTCATGGTTTACTTGTTAATGTTTGTGCTTAGAGAATGACTTATGATAAGTCAATGGTATTTGGTATGCAGTTGTATTAGCATTGGCACATTCTCATTTCCATGGAGATTGTTTAGCCATGTACCATCAGTCATGGTTCATTGACTTTGAATATTTGCATAATTTACATGTTAAAGTATTGCTATTTTAATTTCAACATTTGCATTTATATCAAAATTACAAAAAGGCTACATATCTCTGTATTAACAGTTTATTTTCATGTCAGGGCCTCTTATAGCCGACTATAGGGTATAAGTTTTCTCATTGTTGAAGGCTGTACGGTTGCCTATAATTGCATCTATATTCATTTCATTTGAACTTTGGTGGATAGTTGTTTCATTGGCAATCATACCACATCTCCTTATTTTTATAATGTATCAATTATAACTGACATCAAACATGGATGTCTACCTGTTCAATGCTGTTGTACTATTTCATGTTCAGCTGGATCATTATATGAGCAGACTACACGAAGTTGTAGGTTTTGCTACTTGTTAACCAATTTTGTACTGGAAATGTTGTGAAAAGATTCAACAGGGTGTCTGAGAACAAATTAAGTAGCAAAGAAGGGTAATATAAGAACTAGGATATGAGATATATAAAAACATCAAGCACCAAAACTGCGTAAATTTCTGATCGCTCGCTTGCATAAAATGCTTTTCATAGATTTTATTTTTTTAATATTTCAAAAATAATATCGCTTGCTAGTAAAACATGCTTTCTTTCGCCTGCCAAAAATCAAACTTCAAAAAAAAAAAAAAAAAAAAAAAAAATTCCGCTCGCTCGCTACCCTTTTTTACGGAAAGAGTCAGAACTAGAAATTAATTTGGTGTGGCCTAGGTGACTTTTTCAAACCTTTATCAAATTAAACATGTTTAATGAAACTTGGAAAGAAGCTTCTTTATGACAAAAAATACCATCTGTCTATGATGTGAATCAAAATATAGAATTGTTTTTCATTTCTGCATATTTTACCAATGAATGGACTTTGTTATATTTTACAATGACAGCAGCAGTTGCAGGAGAGACATAACAAGGATTCTGTGGTACCCTTTCCAATATTTTTTCTATTGCAGTTGTATCTTAAAGCCTCAAAGGGTATTCTCCAAGTATCAAATAGCATTTGTATCTTTATATCTAAATGCACTAAAATGCCTGTTAACTGAATATTGTGAAAACAATAACAAAAAAAACCTTGAAGACAATATGTATGTTTAAAATATCCTTACATGACTGTCAATTTACAATCACAAATCATTCGAAAACTAAGTCAGACTCATTTTCTTTTTTGTTTCAGTTCACCTCAGTACTAATTTGATCATACCAGATTCACTTGTGTCTGTAAACGTTGTGAGGGGACAAATAGCTCATCAACAGGTAACCTTTAAGTTGACTCAACAGTTTTTAGTTGTAAATTTAAAGTAACTAAATATAGGTAATCCATTTGTTTATTGTTCTGAGTATGCATGAAATATTTGCCACTGGACATTAAGCAAATATCAATTATTCAATCTATTTGTTTATGTGCCATCCAAGCTTTCCATAAGTAAATTTTGTTTGTTTATTGTTCTAATCCACTCACATTTGGACCTTCCAATTGATTATTTACTTTGCTGGTTCATGTCCTGGCTGCTGCCGGACATCGAGGAAACCAATTTATAATCATACATTTTTATGCCCCCGCCGTAGCGGAGGGGGCATTAAGTTTTACCCTTGTACGTACGTCCCAAAGTTGGTTTCCGTTCTCTAACTTTAGTTTGCCTCAACCAAATGTTATGAAACTTATACACAATGCTTATTACCACACAATACAGATCAAGTTTGAATTTTGGTGGTGTCACTTTAACAGTTCTAGAATTATGCCCCTTTACAAATGGAAAAATTGCTGAATGTTTCGTTTCCGTTCTCTAACTTAAGTTTGCCTCAACCAAATGTTATGAAACTTATACACAATGCTTATTACCACACAATACAGATCAAGTTTGAATTTTGGTGGTGTCACTTTAACAGTTCTAGAGTTATGCCCCTTTACAAATGGAAAAATTGCTGAATTTTTCGTTTCCGTTCTCTAACTTGAGTTTGCCTCAACCAAATGTTATGAAACTTATACATAATACTTATTACCACAAAACTCAGATCAAGTACAAATTTGGGTAGCATCACTTTGACTGTTCTTCAGTTATGTCCCTTTATAAATTTATATGATATGCAAGCGGGAGCATCATCTGTGTCCCATGGACACATTCCCCATTTATTTCAGAGTGTGTTTCACTTGTGCAAAACTATTGTAAGTTATTTATTACAGGGATAGAAAGCACATTGAAAGCTGTACAGTGACTTGTAGTTTTTCACATTCTTGTTATTTTGTCTCTGGTCGATAGTTGTCTCATTGGCAATCAGTAAACATTTTTATACGACCGCAAAAAAATTTTGTGGTCGTATATTGGTATGACGTTGGCGTCGTCGTTGTCCGAAGACACATTGGTTTTAGCACTCTAACTTTAGTTTAAGTAAACGGATCTTAATGAAATTTTACCAAAAGGTTCAATACCACAAAAGCAAGGTTGGGATTGATTTTGGGGGTTATGGTACCAACAGTTTAGGAATTAGGGGCCAAAAATAAGCATTTTTGTAATTTCCAGACATAACTTGTGTGTTAGTTTATGGATCTCTCTGACATTGTACCACAAGGTTCCATATCACAAAGGGAGTGCTTGGATTGATTTTGGGGGTAATTGCCTCAAAATTTTAGGAATTAGGGGCCAAAAAAGGAAAAAAACAAGCATTTTTCTAGTTTCATGACAATAACTTGTGTGTAAGTCTATAGATCTTTCTGAAATTGTACTACAAGGTTCCATGTCACAAAGGGAAAGATGGAATTGAGTTTGGAGGTAATTGCCCAAAACGTTTAGGAATAAGGGGCCAAAAATAAGCATTTTTCTAGTTTCCAGACAATAACTTGTGTTCAAGTGTATGGATCTCTCTGAAATTGTACTGCAAGGTACCATACCACAAAGGGAAGGCTGGGATTGATTTTGGGGGTAATTGCCTCAAAATTTTAGGAATAAGGGGCCACAAAGGGGCCAAAAACAAGCTTTTTTCTAGTTTCAGGACAATAACTTGTGTGTAAGTGTATCGATCTTTATGAAATTGTACTACAAGGTTCCATATCACAAAGGGAAAGCTGGGTTTGAGTTTGGGGGTAATTGCCCTAAATGTTTAGGAATTTGGGACCAAAAAGGGGCCAAAAAACAAGAATTTTTCTAATCTCCAGACAATAACTTGTGTTCAAGTGTATGGATCTCTCTGAAATTGTACTGCAAGGTACCATACCACAAAGGGAAGGCTGGGATTGAGTTTGGGTTGATGAATCATAAGGGGGTTCAAAAAATTTGAGGGGGGGGATTTTTTTTCCCTTTTTTTTTCTTTAAAATTTTCCATTTTAAATTGGTTATTTCTGATTTATATATAAAAGCAAATAATAATGATATGGTTTGAATAGGTAAATTAAAAATTTTTAAGTTCTTAGACCACATTCATTCTGTGTCAGAAACCTATGCTGTGTCAAATATTTAATCACAATTCAAATTCAATGCTGTATCAAGCTTGAATGTTGTGTCCATACTTGCCCCAACTGTTCAGGGTTCGACCTCTGCGGTCGTATCAAGCTGCGCCCAGCGGAGCATTTTATCTTATTTTAATATTGAGATATTACCTAAAGATTCATGTTCATCCTTCTCAATTGACTTAGTATCCATATCTTTCCTGATGATTAGATATTGCGCATCATATGATGATACACTTCTTTCCATCTGTCATCAAAAACATATGATTGTAAAATCTGTTTTTTTATTCAAAAGATAGATTTTACTGTCGTCGTCGTATGAAGAAAAGGCTGTTTTCAGCAACTTTTCTAATGATTAATTATGACATGTATGATAGTTAGGTTACTATTGTTTGTCACATTATCATATGATTTTACTGTTTTTATTATGAAGGAAAGATATACTCAAATGCAATTTCTAAATAAAGAAATAAATACATTGACCCTTTGTGAACACAACTTCTCTGAGACCATTTGACAGAAAGAGGTTTCCATTGAATACATGAAAGGAAAAGGTTTCCATATTGCGAAAGAATAGCCCTTATTTCTAGCTTAAAAAATAAATAAGCGTTTAATGCATATTATCACAATGAATCAGTTAAAACAATGACTTGATAAAAAGGAGGAGGGTAGGCACCTTCAAACTAGTTTAACCCTGCCACATTCTATATGTGCCTGTCCCAAGTCAGGAGCCTGTAATTGAGTAGTTGTAATTTTTTGCAGTTTCTCATATTTGTTTCTTGTGTTTATTGTTTTGCATAGTTTGTTCTTGTGTTGTGCCGTTACACCACTGTCCCAGGTTGGGCAACGGGGACATTAAGTGTTACGTCTTTCCATCCATCTATCTTTCTGTCTGTTCCGTTTTCGGACAATAACTCAAAAATGCTTTCAGCAGTTCTCATGAAACTTTGGAGAATTGTTTATATCTGTTGATGTAAGCTCCCTTTCAATTTTCATAAATTTTAGATTTTACACTTCCGAGTTATGGGATTTTATTCATAAAAAGGGGGTGATTTTCTAGTTTTCGGACAATACCTTTAAAGTGCTTTGGGCAGTTTTTGTTAAACTTTGGTGACTGGTTTATATCAATTAAGATAACCTCCCTTTAGTTTTTCACAAATTTCTGATATGACATTGAGAAGTTATTGAACTTTATTTGTAAATATTGCGACTGGTGTATCATGCGCTCATGGCGCAGCTGTTTATTTAACTGTGTGTTCATTGTCATAAGACTATTGCAGGAAAATTATATGACAGAGATAGTTTATAGCTGTACAGTGTCTTGTAGTCGTTTACATTCTTGTTATATTGTCTCTGGTGGATAGTTCTCCTAGGCAATCATACCACATCTAAAGATATTCGCTGAACATGCTATACACAATTTACAGAGTGTAATCCTTCTCATTTGACTTGGTGTCCACATCTTTCCTGATGATTAGATATTGCGCATCATATGATGATAAACTTCTTTCCATCTGTCATCAAAAACATATGATTGTAAAATCTGTTTTTTTATTCAAAAGATAGATTTTACTGTCGTCGTCGTATGAAGAAAAGGCTGTTTTCAGCAACTTTTCTAATGATTATTTATGACATGTATGATAGTTAGGTTACTATTGTTCGTCACATTATCATATGATTTAACTGATTTTATTATGAAGGAAAGATATACTCAAATGCAATTTCTAAATAAAGAAATAAATACATTGACCCTTTGTGAACACGACTTCTCTGAGACCATTTGACAGAAAGAGGTTTCCATTGAATACATGAAAGGAAAAGGTTTCCATATTGCGAAAGAATAGCCCTTATTTCTACGGTAGCTTAAAAAATAAATAAGCGTTTAATGCATATTATCACAATGAATCAGTTAAAACAATGACTTGATAAAAAGGGGGAGGGTAGGCACCTTCAAACTAGTTAAACCCTGCCACATTCTATATGTGCCTGTCCCAAGTCAGGAGCCTTTAATTGAGTAGTTGTCATTTTTTGCAGTTTCTCATATTTGTTTCTTGTGTTTATTGTTTTGCATAGTTTGTTCTTGTGTTGTGCCGTTACACCACTGTCCCAGGTTAGGCAATGGGGGCATTAAGTGTTACGTCTTTCCATCCATCTATCTTTCTGTCTGTTCCGTTTTCGTACAATAACTCAAAAATTCTTTCAGCAGTTCTCATGAAACTTTGGAGAATTGTTTATATCTGTTGATGTAAGCTCCCTTTCAATTTTCATAAATTTTAGATTTTACACTTCCGAGTTATGGGATTTTATTCATAAAAAGGGGGTGATTTTCTAGTTTTCGGACAATACCTTTAAAGTGCTTTGAACATTTTTCGTTAAACTTTGGTGACTGGTTTATATCAATTAAGATAACCTCCCTTTAGTTTTTCACAATTTTCTGATATGACATTGAGAAGTTATTGAACTTTATTTGTAAAAAGTGCGACGGGTGTATCATGCGCTCATGGCGCAGCTGTTTATTTAACTGTGTTCATTGTCATAAGACTATTGCAGGAAAATGATATGACCAAGATAGTTTATAGCTGTACAGTGTCTTGTAGTCGTTTACATTCTTGTTATTTTGTCTCTGGTGGATAGTTCTCCTAGGCAATCATACCACATCTAAAGATATTCGCTAAACATGCTTTTACACAATTTACAGAGTGTAATCCTTCTCATTTGACTTGGTGTCCACATCTTTCCTGATGATTAGATATTGCGCATCATATGATGATACACTTCTTTCCATCTGTCATCAAAAACATATGATTGTAAAATCTGTTATTCAAAAGATAGATTTTACTGTCGTCGTCGTATGAAGAAAAGGCTGTTTTCAGCAACTTTTCTAATGATTATTTATGACATGTATGATAGTTAGGTTACTATTGTTCGTCACATTATCATATGATTTAACTGTTTTTATTATGAAGGAAAGATATACTCTAATGCAATTTCTAAATAAAGAAATAAATACATTGACCCTTTCTGAACACAACTTTTCTGAGACCATTTGACAGAAAGAGGTTTCCATTGAATACATGAAACGAAAAGGTTTCCATATTGCGAAAAAATAGCCCTTATTTCTAGCTAAGAAATTAAATAGGCATTTAATGCATATTATCACAATGAATCAGTTAAAACAATGACTTTATAAAAAGGGGGAGGGTAGTACCTTCAAACTAGTTTAACCCTGCCACATTCTATATGTGCCTGTCCCAAGTCAGGAGCCTGTAATTAATTGGTTGTCATTTTTTGCAGTTTCTCATATTTGTTTCTTGTGTTTATTGTTTTGCATAGTTTGTTCTTGTGTTGTGCCGTTACACCACTGTCCCAGGTTAGGCAATGGGGGCATTAAGTGTTACGTCTTTCCATCCATCTATCTTTCTGTCTGACCCATTTTGTTTCCACACTCTTAACTTAAGTTTGCCTAATGCAAATTTTATGAAACTCATACACAATGCTAAGAACTTAAACTCGCAGACAGGGTTCGAATATGGGTAGTGAGTCAGTCACGGATCTAGAGTTATGCCCCTTTAGAACTTGGAAAATTGCAAATATTTTTGTTTCTGCACTCTAACTTAAATTGTCTCATCCAAATTTTATAAAACTCATACACAATGCTGAGAACCACAACATGCAGACAAATATTATTGTTATACACATATGTAATTTCATGGTATTACAATCTGTTGATACCTATATTTTGGCATTGCACAAGGTCATGTTTTTTTCTGACTGTTAATGATGTCTTTACACTAAATCCATTGGATGTTGGATGTATACTGATTGATATTTTAGTCTTAAATACATGATTTTTTTTATTAGTTGTTATTGGCTTAAAACTGGCTGTCAGTAACTGCGAGTACTCTCAGATCTGTGCTTATTGTCTTTTTTGTTGTTAGGGATGAAGGATGGATAAATACCCTGCCACGTCCAGTCTGTGTTTTTGTTTTTGTTTGATGTTTTTCTGCTTTGTATCGATCTGATGAGTTAAGCCTTTTTCAACTGATTTTTGTCTCACCTTGACGGAGTCAAAAAAGAGACATAGGTATGCTGTTTCCAGCAGCGGCTGCGTCAACAATGTATTAGTTTGTGATTAGGTCTAGTTCATGGTGAACCACTAGTGGTAGGTCAATGATATTTGGTATGCAGTTGTATAAGCATTGGCATATCTCATTTCCATGGAGATTATTTGGCCCCGCCCCCTCATTCATGGTCTATTGACTTTGAAACTTTTGCTTAGTTTTCATGTATTAGTTTGTGATTAGGTCAGTTTAAGAGGAACCGTTAGTGGTAGGTCAATGATAATTGGTATGCAGTTGTATAAGCATTAGCACATCTCATTTCCATGGAGAATATTTGGTCCTTACCCCTCAGTCATGGTCTTTTGACTTTGAAACTTCTGCTTGTTTATATGTATTAGTTTGTGATTAGGTCATTGGAGATTATATAACCCCACCCTCTAATTATGGTTCATTGACTTTGAAACTTTTACATAGTTTACAAGTTAATCTTTGTGTTTAGGTTTGTTTAAAGGGAACAACTTATGAAAAGTCAATGGCATTTGGTTTGCAGTTGTATTAGCATTGGCACATCTCATTTCCATTGAGATTGTTTAGCCCTGTACCTGTACCTTCAGTCATTGACTTTGAATATTTGCATAACTTGCATGTTAAAGTATTGCTATTTTGATTTTAACATTTGCATTATCAAAATAACAAACAGGCGAGACATATCTCTGTGTTAACAGTTTATTATAGTTTGTTCTTATGTTGTGCGGTTACGCCACTGTCCCAGGTTAGGGGGATGGTTGAGCGCTCACTAACATGTTTATCCCCTCCACATTCTTTATTTGCCTGTCCCAAGACAGGAGCCTGTAATTCAGTGGTTGTAGTTGGTTCATTGTCTGTCATATTTGCTTTTATAAATTGTTTTGTTATAAATTAGGCCGTTAGCTTTCTCAATTGAATTGTTTCATATTTTTCAAGTCGGGGCCTTTTATAGCCGACTATACAGTATGGGTTTTTCTCATTGTTGAAGGCTGTATAGTTGTCTATAATTGCTTACATCCACTTCATTTGTACTTAGGTGGATAGTTGTCTCCTTAGCAATCATACCACATCTCCTTATTTTTATATAGTTTGAATTTGGGTCATGAGTCATTTACCGTTCTAGAGTTATGCCCCTTTTTAACTTGGGGAAAATTGGAAAGCTTGAGTGGGGGCATTCGTGTCCTCAGACACATTCTTCTTTTATTTTTTTATTGGGTTACAATTAATATCAGTTAAATTTTAATGAAAACAGGCTAATTTGAATTGGTTTTCAAGACCAGAAACATATAAAATAGCACATTTGTCGATAAAAAAAGATCTTTAACATTATGTTTATTATAGCAAATAGCATATTTATTTTGAAAAATGCGTCAGGGTTATAATCGCAATAATTTAAACTTGCATTTTGAAATTTTTTATATGAATTAAACAGGATTTTTCTCAATATCGCGAAAATTAAAATGACAAAATCGCAATAATAAATGCACACAATAATTTCTGAATTTACAGTATTCAAAAAGATGCAAAAATAAAATATACAACATGTTAGTTCTATAGTTATCTAAAAGAATGTTTAATATATTGAGTTGTATTAACAAAATAACAGGCACCATACTTTTACAGGCTAATGTTATAGTCAACACCACCTCCACTAATCTGCAGCTTAACTATGGTGCTGTGTCCCAGTCTCTTTTATGTGTTGGAGGACCACAGTTACAGAAAGAATGTAACCAGAAATACCCTGATGGGGTTAATCTTGGGGATGTAGCAGTGACATCTGGTGGGAATCTTAAATGTGATGTTATTTTCCATGGTGCACTCCCACAGTGGAAGGAGACAGGAGCTTTAACAGTAAGTGTCAGAATTAGCTTGATGGTGAATAGTTTGGGGGGTGGGGCGGGGAGGGGGGGGGAACACACAAGGAAAGTCTGAAATAGTATGTCACCTTTCATAATGTGAGAGCATTTCTGTAGCTAAAGAACACAGTAACTTCAAGGATAAATGTCTGAAATACGCTGAGGGCACAAAGTCGAGAGAAAAGAATTGTTACAAATGTGTATGCTTTGATCCAATGATTTTAAGAATTTCACATAGCAAAACTATTAGGTAAAATCATTACAACTCCAATGTCTTTTTTGTGTTGTTTTGGGTTGCTGTCTCATTGACTCAAGGTTCTATTTATAACAGTATTTAATTGGATATTTATTGTTATTTGTTATGGGGTTCTCCTTCAGTGGAAGGAAATGGAGGATGTTGCAGCATTTCTCAAGAATATGTTTATGTTAGATTGACTTGATATATAGATGTCCTATGAAAGGGTTATTATAATTGTCATAACAAAGGAAAGTCTGAACTGTTGTTTTATGAACCAGGTTTACCACAGGTTAGGCAGGCAAAAGTTCATCTTCACAAATAATGACTGATAGAGCATGGTAGTTTCAAGTTTGAGCATTGGTTCTAAATTTCACATCTAAAACATGCTATAATCTACTAATTTGTTAGTATTTATATCAGATCATAAACCTTTTAAATTATCAAGGAAATCATTATATTCTTTACAATGCAGGCCGCTGTTATTTTTTGAATAAATCTCTATCAGGGTTCGTTTTTTTTTGCAGGTTTCACTGTATATGTATGTATATATATAAACAAGTCTAAATTAAAAACAACGTTCAAACCTATGATTGCGTTGGATAAAAACCACAATTTTTATACGTGTGCATGTAAAACAAATTTCTTGTTATAGAGGGGTCTAAATACAGTACAAACAACATTTTCCAAAAGACCAAAAATGTGAAAAAGTATATTTTTACAAAACGCATTTGACTAGCAGGTCGAACAACTGATGTTCTTAAACCTTGCTGACTGCCATTGGCGATTGCCAAATAAACGGATCACAAGATGTAACAAAACAGATCTTATAATTAAATTATTACCAAACAGAAAACAATAAACTTGCGGAAAAGATAGTATACCGCAAACATGAGGTGCAAAAATTTGTACACCATATCCAGATTTCGACAATTAATGTCTCTTCAGTGATGTTAGGAATCGAAACGGTATTTGGAAGGCCATATAATTTACCTCAATTTAGGATAGACTCTTGAATTTTGAAAGAGTCAAAATAGGATGAACGGATCATATAAACCCGAAGGCAAATATAATACAAGCCCAAACGAAAAAATATAAACAAGTCTAAATTGAAAGCAACGTTCAAACCTATGATTGCATTGGATAAAAACCGCAATTTTTATACGTGTGCATGGAAAACAAATTTCTTGGTAGAGGGGTCTAAATACAGCACAAACAATATTTTCCAAAAGAAATATGTATATATATATATATATATATGAAAATTTTGAATCTTTTGTTTCAGATTTTGCAGACCTTCATGAAGAAGTGTTTAACAACAGCTAATAGTCATGGTTTCACATCTATAGCCTTTCCTGCCCTGGGGACAGGAAGTCTTGGTTTCCCTAGAGATATTGTAGCCAGGGAGATGTTCAGTAGTGTGGAGGAGTTTGCTAGGGATAATCCTACTTCATCAGTCAGTGATGTTAGATTTGTTGTATATGGTGGAGACATCAGTACTATCAAAGTAAGTGTACTTACACATTATTCTAAAACCAGTTGTTGGCATGATACAGGTTACATTCTTCTTTTATATTTTATGATGGTATGATACTATAAAACCCCCAACAGGAGGGATTGTGCTTGACTTTCATATGATGATGACATAATCTTTCAATTACTTTAATTAAGGTCTGGAGCTGGCTTGTCAGTAACTACTAGTAGTCCATTGTTAATTTATGTTGATCAATGTCATTTTGCTTAGTTACTTCTGTTACCTATTTTAACATCGGACTAAAACTTCTTTTAAACTGATTTTTACTGTGTTTTGCTGTGTGTTTGTTAATTCCACATAGGCTAGAGGTATAGGGGAGGTTTGAGATCTCACAAAACATGATCAACCACGCCACATCTTTGCGCCTATCCCAAGTCAGGAACCTTTGGCCTTTGTTAGCCTTATATGTTTTTTTTAAATTTTGATTCATTTTATATGTGAGTTGAGTGTGACTTTCATTTTTGCTGAACTAGTTTACATTATTGTTCAGTGGCCAGGGTGTGGGATTTTCTCATTGTGTTGAAGACCCATTGGTGGCCTGGGCTGTTTTCTGCTCTTTGGTCGGGTTTTTGTCTCTTTGAAACATTCCCCGTTTCCATTCTCAATTTCATTTAATAAATTTAATACATTTTCACAACAGGATGTGGGCTCGTATTCCCTTCAGTGCTTTATATCCACTGATCTGTTAGGCAAAGAGGATATAGGGGAAAGACGAGGAATATGATCCCATTTTCCCTGTTAAGCCTGAATAACAATTACATTATACTGGAGTACCATGATTTCAACATGAATTACCGTTCTGATCTTTGTTTTTGTTCCCAGAGAATATTCTCTGTCGAAGTAATCCATCAAATTTCATGGTTTAGGATATTTCACTTTAGTATGGTACAGGATCAGGCATATATTAAAGCTAAATCCTTGTGTGCTGAGATATAGGCTGAAGATATAAAATAAGGAGATGGGGAATGGTGCTAAAACAAATGTCAGTGTTAAGTAGAAACAGATCGATGTGAGGAGGCCAGTTCATCATGGGAAAGTTGAAAGAGAAAAGCAAAGTGACTCAATTACAATCAGCTTAATGTAATACATTGTGTAATTTGCATATTCTGTTTTTTTCATGGGTTAGTTTTGATGATTATGTTAATCTACTAGTATATTAAAATGGAATTAGTTGCTTTTTACCATGTTTACTTTATAGGCTTTTGAAGAACACAAACTAAAAGCATTGAAAGGAAATAAAAGAGAGATGGAAAATGAAGGTATTTAAAATATATTTAGATAACCTGCATAGTTGGTTAGTCTGTGCTAAGTTGAAGGTCCTATTGGTTAAAGCAGTGTCTCCATGTTCTTATGGCCATGAATTTATCTGAGTGTCTTCATTGAAATACACCACTGGATATTAAACAAACAACAATCAATCAATCAAAGTTTGAATGACAGATACACTAGTTCTAAAAAAATGTCACTTTTTATAGGATGCAGGTTCCTGTGAACCAACACTGTACCAACCTGTCTTATAAGGTATAAATTTGATCAAACTTTTAATTGAAATAACCTCAAAATATTGCGAACTAGCAATTTGTTTCCTAACTTTGAGGGAATAAAAAAGAACTGATAAATAAATTGATTAAGTTGGTATTAAAGTAGTCAATTAGATATTTACAAAATTATAAAACATTGCATCTGTATATCTTAAATATAAACAAGTCTAAATTGAAAACAAAGTTCAAACCTATGATTGTGTTGGATAAAAACCGCAATTTTTATACGTGTGCATGCAAAACAAATTTCTTGGTAGAAATATATATATACACCAGAATGCAATGCATCATGATTGTTTGTATGGTACTAAACTAAGATTACTGTTAATAGAAATGTATATAGGAATTTTGTAAAGTACATATTGTATTACAAAAAAGGTCATAATTCGGTTGATTCAACTTACATTGACCATATAGTTTTATTAATGAGCTGAAGTATTACTGAAAATAATTTACGTCAATCTGATTAAAATACAGATCGTGTGTCCATGCTTTACTTACAAGGATCTGACAACACGCCATTTTTGCTTTCTGTTCTGATAATTATTACATCAGCTAATGACATTTCATAGAACAGAGCGTTTTCAGATCCTTGTAAGCAAAGCTTGGACACAGGATCTGTATTTTCATAAGATTGAATTTAACGCAAATATTAGTGTCGTCGTAGGTCATTTGCGCTTTTTATACCTGTAACACAACAGGACATTTGAGCTTTAAACTTTGACACTCTTGAACCAAATTGGCCGGATGTTTGCCCTTTTTACCTATGAAAGTTTACTTGTAACCTTAACCGGATTTACCAAAGTCAAGGGATGGCAAAAATGGAAATTATATTCCTCATTCATTCTATAGTCTGGAAAGTCCAAGAACTCTCAGCCATGGTTTCTCTGAGATTGTTTCAATTTGTGGAGACCGAAATTAAATATTTTAACCACCTGCTGTTCATGTTGACTTTGAAGAATGATTCATGGCTGCTATAAAGAGAAATATGTAGTAATTCAGACTTTCTAGGTGTCGGATGTGAAATTTCATAAGCATTTATCTCTATTAAAAAGAAACAATAACATATTGCTGTGAATACTCAAAGATATTAAATGATTTTTAAACTTTTAACCTTGATAATTGAAATGTAATGTTGATAAAGCTTAAATGTCCTTTAAAAAAAGGGCAAATGTTCTGTAGAAAAAGCGCAAATGTCCGTTAAAAAATGGGCAAGTGTCCATTTAAAAAAGTGCAAATGTCCTATCAAAAAGTGCAAACATCCAGCGTCGATTAGTGTTTTAATTACTTTGCCTGAATTCAACCTGAATAGTACTGGTTTCAATACCAGATATTTTTAGAAATGGCTTTTTATAAAACTTAGAATAGAATTTACAACAATGATTAATGGCGTTATATTTTCTCATTTTTATAATGAAAAAACTTTATGTTTGTAGTTGCCACCAATACTAAAAGTACATCTACTACTGTTATACCTGAAAGTGATGATGAAGATGACGACTTTAAACCACCATCAATATACAGAACACCTGGAAGTGCTAGACAGGTAATAATTAACAGAACTGAAGTTTCACTAATTAAAACATTTATTGAAAAGACCAATATTCATTGACTGTCAACATCTGATATATTATGGTACTGTAGATTCATAATTATTTGTTGCATAACGAATTTTGTGGGTTAAGTTAACAACCAATTTAAATATCCAACAAATTATCAATTTTCTATAGGCTTGCTTATAGACTACTCAATCCACGAAATCAAATATCCATGAATACACAATTGTTTCTTAATCCACCAAAAATGGTAGCCATGAAAATAGAATAATCCACAGTACACTGTTGTTCCTCTATAAAAATAAGGAGATGTGGTATGATTGCCAATGAGACAACTATCCACCAAAGTTCAAATGAAGTGGCTGTAAACAATTATAGGCAACCTCTGTTCATTCTACATAAACATTTTTGCAAACTTTACTCAAGTCTACATTGACCAATTAACCTCCAAATTTTAAACCGGATTTCCAAAGGAAAATATCGGTTATTAATTTGGTGATGTACGGCGGGCGGCTGCCAAACAATGTCTGTGCAATAACTTGAAAACGCTTTGACGAAATCTTTTCAAATTTAGATATATTGTTTTCCTGTGACCAAAAGAAGGTCAAATTTGAATTTCAAATTTTAGCTTTTATTGTTGATAAGTTATAGACCTATAAGTAGTGTGAAGTGATACTTAGAGCGTTGTCCATGTGATAACTTGTAAAGGCTTAGATGAAAATCTTGTGATACTTTGAACTAACAAGACAACAACCATTTGAAAGTGGGTTTCTGGAAAGTTATGGAAGTGACCACAAGATTCTATGGTCTCATATTAAATAAGGTTATAATCTCATAAACATATTTCTTTCATTATTGACCATGATTTCTGCCTACCCACCCCTGATGAACAAATGTGTGTGCACTTATATACTCTCTTAAATTCCAATATTATGTCACTTTTGATGAATAGGTCAAGATTGATTTTGGCAATTCCATTTCTGAACCCTACAAAAATTCATTTATTTTTTTTTACTTGATCCTGTTCCAAGGTCCAGATTTGCAAATATCATTTTCATGCAGGAAAATCTTGTTTGCTGTCAATCTGACAGCCTCTTGTTCCAAATTATTTTAAAGAATGATGATTTGAGTATCTTTAAACTTTTTGAAGATTTTCACTAATGTCCATCCAGTGTTATGTGCTTTGAACTTTACTTAATTATTTTATTTAATTATTATTATTGGTCTAAGGGTATGTATACTTTTGTTGATTTCTTTATAAAATATCAGTTTCATATAATTAGGAAAATTGGTGCTCAACTTTTTCTACAGTATCTATTATAATATTTTTCAGTCAGTGAATGATAAGATAAGGAAACATCAGTCCATATCATATGACACTTCTGAACCTGGAACATCAGAAATGGAGAACGATGAAGATGGTTGCTGCTGTGAATGTGGTGCTGAAAATAAACAAAAGAGTAGAAAGTAAGTCTATTTTTAGCTCTGATGCAACTTTGCCAAGGTAAGCTTATGATATAATGAGAATGGCATGCAGGCATCTTAAACTTCTCCTGCCATTCTTTATGAAGTTGAGTAATCAAATCTTTTGCCAAGGTGCAAACAAATATGAATGGACAGTCTGTCTAACTACACTTCTAGTTTTCAAGGAAGAAACTTCTTTTGAACATTAAGAATGTACTGCTTGTTAAAATTTATTAAAGCAATAATATTTGAAGGGATATCCTATGTGTCAAAATAAGAATATTCTTAACCAGTCATTGGTTTTTATTCAACCTCCAAAAAGGTGACGCTATAAAATTGCTAGTTCAGAAGAAAGTTGTTGCCACTTTCAAAGTATTTGTGCCAAGACCAACTTTCTTTTTGTCCCCCGCACAACACGTTGTGGGGGACATAGAAACACCAGGCATCCGTCCGTCTGTCTGTAGGTCCGTTTGTCTGTCCGGTCTTGTTAGCTCTCTCATTTGTACAATTCTTGCCCGATTTTTATGAAACTTATATCATAGGTTTATATCAGCAATGTCTTAGACAAGTTCAAAAATCAGTGCCGATCATTTATTTTTAATAGATTTATGCCCCTTGGAAACATTAATTATATGGAAAATTGCATCGTTAGCTCTCTCATTTGTACAATTCTTGCCAGATTTTTATGAAACATATATCATAGGTTTATATTAGCAATGTCTTGGAAGAGTTCAAAAATCAGTGTCGATCAATTATTTTTGAAAGAGTTATGCCCTTGGAAACATTTAATTATATGGAAAATTGCATCATTAGCGCTCTCATGTGTTCAATTCTTGCCAGATTTTTATGAAACTGATATCATAGGTACATATAAGTAATGTCTTTGACGAGTTTGAAAATCAGTGCTGATCAATTATTTTTAAAAGAGTTATGTCCCTTGGAAATATTAAATATAATTGTAAATTGCATTGTTAGCGCTCTCATGTGTACAATTCTTGCCAGAAATTTATGAAACTTGAATCATATGTTTATATTTGCAATGTCTTTGACAAGTTCGAAAATCAGTGATGATCAATAATTTCTAAAAGAGTTATGCCCCTTGGAAATATTGATTAATATGGAAAATTGCATTGTCAGCATTCTCATGTGTACAATTATTGCCAGAATTTTATGAAACTTATATCATAGGTTTATATCAGCAATGTGTTTGACACTTTTGAAAATAAGTGCTGATCAAATATTTTTATTGAGTTATGCCCCTTGGAAATATTAATTATAATGGAAATCACATTGCAATTGCTCTGAAGCCTTCATTTCTCTAAGATAATAATAAAAAGTTTTAAAGAAAAAAAAAAAGTGCTTTATTTAGTTATTGCCCTTGTACCTTGGATAGATAAAATATGTGCAATGCGGGGGACATTGGAACTCTGTTTTTTTATTGTTACTCTAAAACTAGACATCTGTATATTTTTGTATGTACAGTAACTTGATATTTCAAGGTTGAAGAGCTGTACAATTCATAATTTAATCTCTGTTTTGTAATCTGGGAGAATTTTACAGCTTCACATGGTGACCTGTAGTTGTTGACACCCTTGTCCTTTTGCCTTTGGTGGATGTATGTCTAATTGGCAATCATACCATATCATACCAATCATACTTTATTTTAATGCTGGTATGTCTTTGGTCTGAATTTTTTGTCTGGCCTCAATCTCATTTTGTGGTTCAATAGTGCTTAAATAACTGTATATTTTAATTATCATGTGATTTTAAGCTCACCTGGATCATAAGGTCCATTTGGGTTATTGCCAAGCCTTTACATGTGTTGTCCATCGTCAGTGTACACTCTGTGAAAAATCTTCTCTGTATAAATAACAGAACAGATTTGAACAAACATTTGTGTGAATATATGTCTATTTATAAATTGTATTTTGATTTGTCAAAATACTTGACTGCTGTTGCTTAATATAGGACATGGGCATTAAACTTTTGGCTATAGTCCCCCAAACTAAAGCAGATAGAAGACAACTGAAGTAAAAATGACAAGCAGGTCAAAGATATCTACCTGAAATTTTCATAATAACTTGACAACCTATTTTGGAGTTATTACCCCTTAGATGTCTATTTTCAGATTATTTTGCAGTATTTTGCTATTATCTTAAAAGGTATAATAAATAGTGGGACACTTTAATCTGACAGCAAAAATTATCAGTTTATAGACCACTTGTACAATTTGCTGTTTCAGAATCTAATGCATTCTGGGTAATATTTTCAAAAGTGTACACCAAAGCGTCTCGATTGGTTAAAAATGTCCTAAACAATTGAAATTCCAACAATTTGTTATTGCAATTGGCAATTCACATAGATATCCCAAATAATCTTCAATGACATTTACCAAAGAGGAAATCCTGAACAATTATTGGCCTGTAGTATGTTCCTTTTGAATTTCAACCAAAGTTGCAGGACTGGATCTGCCAAATACTCAACGAAATCTATGTCCTAATTGAAAACATCTATTTATCAACAATTAAAACTGTGCTTCAGTGTTACATGCAGCAGCCTTTCCTTTACTCTCAGCAAACTCGATGACTTTAAATTTAAATGCAAAGTCACACTTTTTTTTAAAAAAATAAGGAGATGTGGTATGATTGAAAATGAGACAACAACCCACATTACTTTCAAGAGTCCAGATAAGGTGGATGTAAGAAACTATACTTTTTATGCCCCACCTACGATAATAGAGGGCATAATGTTTTTCGGTCTGTGCGTCTGTTCTTCCATCCGTCCGTCCGTCCTTCTGTCTGTCCCGCTTCAGGTTAAAGTTTTTGGTCAAGGTATAGTTTTTGATGAAGTTGAAGTCCAATCAACTTGAAACTTAGTACACAGGTTCCCTATGATATGATCTTTCTAATTTTAATGCCAAATTAGAGTTTTTACCCCAATTTCACAGTCCGCTGAACATAGAAAATGATGGCGCTAGTGGGGCATCCATGTACTATGGACACATTCTTGTTGTATGTGTTTTTTCTTTGGCTTTTTGTGATGCCATAATAATTTAAAAAGACTTTCAGCATCTTCAAATCTACATATACAAGCTAAGGAATTCCTAACTGTGTCCAAAAAATTATTCACGTGTGACTTATGCAGAAGTTATTCTAACCTTCTTCATTTTGTTCTTTAGGAAAAAAATATTAATTTTGCTAATTTCAATCAGCACATGTCCAACACATTTATTTGGGCCTCCTCTCTGAAGGTTCAGTTGCATGGGAAATTTGTTGTTTGGTTCATTTGTTTCAATTTGCAATATAATTTATCACCAACTTGATATTGCCAACAACTTTAGTAAATATGATGACCCCTTATAGAAAGACTTTAAAACTCAGTTCCATTACAATACAAATGTTGTGAAATTACACACTGATAACATCGACTGCATAAGGCCATTTTCGTTGCAAAGCTTGAGCAGGGGCATACATTCTTTTATTACTAATATTTTGCATAAACCATACAAAAAAGAGAAAAATTTGATCTACAAATAAGTCAGCATGACTAATTTTCAGTTCAGTCTGTACAGGAGTTATTGCCCTTCAATGACAATTTTCTTTCATTTATTTTTGGTTACAATCTTGAAATATATAAGAGATAAAGAGAAACTTTAAACAACATAAATGATCGGCTAAAAAAGATTAACAAATAATTTAACATAGTGGAAATCATTCCTTATACTGGCTTATAGGAGTTATTACCCTCAAATGATGATTTTTTTTTACCCTATTTGGCTATTGTGAAAACTAAAATAGATAAAGGGAATATAACATTTCTATCTATGTTATTCTAATATGTCTTTTTAATGTTATGACACTCACAGTGGTCAAAAGAAGACTTCACAAGATGTTATCTTTCATAAATTATTGGTAGGGACCAGTTTCAGTGGTATAGATTACCTCTAGTCTCCTAGCCTAAAACACCTGGATTCAGTGTCGGCTTGTAGAACACTTTGGTCTGCTGATCTGATAGGCTCGTCAAAAATCTTCTTGTAAAATGTTAGAACAATTTAGTATAAATAAGTCTTAATATGGCAGTCAGTCTTGACCTCTCTGTCATTATGGGTTGATATTTTAAGGTCAAATTCTAGATTTTTATGCCCATCCTAGGTCTGCCTGTTAGTACTCTCAACCCAAATAAGGTTAAAGTTTTGTTTTGCAAAATGTACAAAAATAGTTCCAGAGCTCTGTCATTTCAGAAGTATTATTTGCTGAAAAATTAAGTCTTAGACTCTTTGCTTGTATTTTCTTGGGAGAAAGCTCTGTAAAGTTAACCAAACAAATGATAATAGAGTACATTCTTTGAAAAGAAAATTTCTTTATTTATTTTTTATTTTTAATTGGTTAAAGGACTGTAAACTTTGAAATTTGTTGTGTAAAATATGACATTATTAGAACCATATTAATTACTTAATTTTTATTGCCTTATTTTTTTCTGGCATAGTCCCTCAGTCATATGGCGTTAGTTCAGTTGCACTTTAAATGAGTTTATCTAGTATCATATTAAAAGAAACTAATTTCTAAATTTAAAATTCATACTTACAATGCAGTATCATTGCTTATATTTGCATTTTTTAAGACCAACCAAGAGTATTCTTTAGAAATTCATTTATATGTAAATTGTCAATTTTGGTATGACAGATTTAAAGGTATTAGAAGATTAAATTTTATAGATTTTTATATGTAATTAAAATCAAATGTAAATTTGACATATATTGAATTACACTAGCAAGTAGCTGTTTTTACATTGTATTGTTATATCGTCATATTTGATAGAAACTGAAACTTAATTAGTTAAGGTTTTATACCATTACGTTGCACTTCAGAAATCATTTAATTACACTTTGTATAAACAGTCATCTTTTATTTTGTTATTGTCAAAGGAACAAGGTGATCTGTTAGAAAATTGAAAATTCTTGAAATAATTCAAAATTTTTTTTTGCCGATGTGTTGCTTCCTGTG